AATTTATCGAAGATTTCGTATTTCTCTAAATTACCGTTATATGAGATGTCGGCATGGTTATTGTCCGATTTTAAATTTTTTTGCACAGACGGACGGACGGACAGACAATCACCGCTTAATCGATTTCTCTTTCCATTCTGATCATTTATGTATACATTTGTCTATATCTATCTCGATTCGTTTTGCCTGTTACAAACAACCGTTATGTGAACAAAGTTATAATACGCTTGTGCACAAGTGCGCTCGGGTATAACTAGGGTGACCATTCGTACCGATTTTGAGAAAATTGTCCCGCTGCATATTTTTTAAAAGTCGGGTCGTATAAGTGTCCCGATTTCTCATATTTGTACCCGGTTTTCTTTATTAATTTTACAAGAGTCTTCCCGTACTCTGGCACAAAAACAATTTTCGGTACAAGTGAGGTAACACTTTCTTTATCACATAGCATAGAGCATGGAATACATATAGGGGAGCCATAAACATAACCAGCATCCTTTTTTCTATGATCTTTGGTTATGTTTTATTCTGTCAAACTGGTACTCTCGCTATATTGCAGTCATCATTATTGTCAAAAGTTTTTTGTTAGGATTTTATAATTATTATTATTATTATTTTTTTATTCAATGAACTGAGTCTAACTTGAATTTAGTGGAATTATAAGAAATAGTAATAATTCCCTAAAAATTCAAGCATATGAAAAATATAAGAATTAGGGTTGGCCTTTATATGGCATTCAAAATCAACGGATTAAAAAGTTAAATATCCTGTTATTCATGAAAACTTTCCTCTCTCTTTTTTAATTATTTTAGTTAAGAAATTGTAAGCTTGTAAGATTGTCGCGGAAATAGAGCTGTTATTTTTTTACTTTCCATGTCGAAAACGGCTGCTTGTTATAATTCTGGGCATTTAAGTATTAAAAAAGTTGTTTTACTAATCAATTGAACTTGTTTCTACTCCTTACTTTACTTCGTTAGCCACGCCTTTATTTTATTTTTAAGATCCTAAAGGAGTTGGGCATACCATACGTACGAGTATTCCATACTCTGCTGACCGCAGCAAAGCAACCCATAGTTGACGATCCTTCGACAATTATCAATTTGAGGATTCTCCGCAGTGCTTTTGAAGAAAACAAACTTTCAAAGTACTCTAATTTTCATTACATTCATTTGTCGCCTACTCGCAATCGCTTAACTTCAGCGCCACATTAATCCCACGCTAAGAAACTTCATCAGCTGCCTTCTATTTAAGTAGTCTACTCTCCAATAGAATTGCTGACCCTTGTTTTGCGCATCAGTTGTTGGTGTCACTTTCTCATTCTACTTGTGCATACATACATACATATTTGCAACTTAAATGCTTAATTGTAATTGAGTTTTATAAGAAAAGTTTGCGCATTGTCTCCATGCCACCGCATCCCAACGCAAACGATAAATGTAAGCGTGAGCAGAGCAGAGACGGCTGGCTGGCTGGCTGTCTTACTGCATTATGAGTTTGTAGTGAGTCCACCCTGTTGAAGAAAATAAACAACAAACTTTAAAGTCGTTAAATATAGCCATATTTCTAGACCAGGCAATTTTCGTAGCGAAGCTTTATGCCTAATTGCATGAGAAGAACCGTTTTGGCCTTTGGGTTTTTTTTCAACGAGCTTGGAAGTTTACATTTCTCCCTAACTTAAGTGTCAGTATCTCCCACCGGCTGTCACTTTCACCGCACTAATATGTTTGTTGTTGTTTGAGTTTTTCGCTTTTCGCTATTTACCATTTCTTGCTGGCTCATCAGCGCCCGAAAGCGCTCTATTTATGTTGCTGTCGTCACCGTTGATAGGCCATTGCCACTCCTATCCTTCGCTCACATCATTGTCGATATTTTAATTGCGGATTATGTCGTTTAACTTGAAAATTTGTTTGGTAACTTTTACACAGTCGCAACGTTCTTTTGCAGTCTCAACCATCGCACGCGGGGTAATTGCAGAATAAGTTCAATGACGCCTCGGCCAGACGCGCCGCGCATATCAATACACGCAACGTTGGCTAATTGCTTTGTATATCAACAGCGTGAGGAAACACAGCCGTCAGATTTTCACTTCATAAAAGAGATTGCGAGGAAGTCATATAACTTAAGTGTTTGAAGGAAAACAAAATGTGTAAGTAAACTGCCAAATCGGGGAGTAGAAATTTCGTTTCTAAGCTCATTCGTTCCACTCCTCATAATATCGATTCATTAACTAAGTAGAAGTTTATTTTACTACCACCTCAATTACGTGTCAATGCCGTGTGGTTGTTTTTGTTTCTTTGGTTGAGATGTTAGGGTTGCTACTGCCATAATTTGCTACCTTTTATCTTAATTTTTTTCCTCCTACAACTGACTGTTTGCCTGCGTTTTATTCGGAGACGGGCATAATGAAAATCGTCCGAAAATAATACAGCATCGTTTTGTTGATTACATCAACACTTGTCGCCAGTGCAAGTTGCCAAAGTTTCCTACCATTCCCTATGTTCAGCATTTCATCAAATATGTTGTCATGTGGCTTTTGTTGTCTGGCCGTTAATGAAGCGTGGTAACAGTAGCAGCATTAATGGCGACTGCCACATCTTCGTCCTTAACGATGGTGTTTCACGACAGAAGGGCGCAAGTCAATTTATTTCACAATTTATCATTAATTACAGTGAACGGATATTAAATTCTGGTTGTGTATTGCTAAATATTTTGTTATCGCATTGACCAACACAGTCAAACACACTTACACTTAAATAAAATCATAATTAAATAACTTCCGCTTTGAAAATAAAACAGTTCTTGGATTAAAAAAAGTGAGGAGTGCTGTCTGAGTGCAGGTGTGCGAGTCGATTGGCGAATAAACTGGCCTTCTGTTGTGAATGCAGCTTTTCGACGATGAGCTTTGCTTATAGGCACATTTTTTGCAGCACCCACTTCCGAAATACTGCAAGAGTGTCTTCCATCAATAACAAAATGCTCGGTTTGGTTTCTTGCTTGTCGATACGGAGGAAAACGTGTGGTTGGAACCCTAGTACTGCGTATTACCATGTTTCATGTATCAGCAAAGCCGATCAAATCAGTCCGTTCTACAACGTTTCGTCGTGAAAACTGAATTTTGCGTCAGTGGGACCAAAGATGCGGGTTTTAATATCATGATAGAGGCAGCGCTCCTGTATTCAAAAAATAGGTCTTCTATCGTGTCGTACTTTTCTTTCGTTGTGGCGTGGACACAGGTTTACCAAATGTTAAAGAATCTCGCTTTGATGTGGATTGTGGTGAGAAAGTCATTTGCCCGGCTTAACGACAGTATTCGACGACAAAGTCTATCACCAACAATAAATCCATCACCGAAATTGCACTCCTTTAGACGTCGCAAGGCCCAATGTTTGTTTGCCACTTTCTCCCGCCCAGTGCATAGCATTGATGTCAGCTTTAGTCTTTCCGAGGACATCAACCAGCCGAGCAGAGGCACCTTCTCCATTAAGGGTCCCACATTCCAGATGCATGCCCTCAAATCTTTGTCATTTTCCTTTGAACGGCCGACGCGCTCATCATCAAAAGAAAAGGTTAGCTTGTTTTAAGAACTGATTTGATTCTGGACTGTCAGTAACCTTCTTCTAACATTATTTCGAAAATTTATTTCATCTCTTTAGGATCATATTGCAAACGTTAGGTTTGACCTGCAAAACGCTTGTGACTACTCGTACTTAAGTTAATAATCGGAATTTCGTTTATTTGTTTCTTAAGTCTTCTTAAGTGCTTTAAAACAAACTTTTGTACATCTGTACATAAGCTCTTATAATTTGCTAAATTTTTGTCATCACAGGAAAACTTTTCCAAAATAAAAAATAAAAATAAACTTTTCTGTAATCTTCACCAAGTTAAGCATTTAATTTACTCACAAATATTTTTGGCCTTTTTGAAACTTTCTCAATGGTTGTTACAAAGTTTTAAAGCACCTTCAATTAAACCCATTCACGGCACTCCCTTTCACAAAAGCCAACCGAGGTCAAACTTTTTCATCAACGCGAAAAAGGAAAGGCAAGGAAATTGTAAATGAACAAAGCGAAGAACAGCAAGATTTATTTATAGCTGCGCACAAATTACTCCAAAAATTAATTACATAAATGAGCAACAAAGGCAACAAAAAACGATTAAAAAATAAAAACGAAATGAATTAAATCAAATCAAAAAAAAAAGAAAATACCAAAGGAAAAAGAACACTTGTTAAATTGCGTAAAAATATTGGCGCGTTTGTTTTGCCACCTTTTCCACGTTCTTTTAGTTTTATTTTTGCGCTCGTTGCTGCTGGTGTGCTATAAAGCCAATTGGGTCGTAGCAGCACTCTTTTTGGCTGTCGGTCGACTCAGCCAGTTTGGTTGCTTCGAGACACTCTTCTTCCTCCATATATATACATATGTTTGTACATTAGAGTGGTTCCAATTTTTGTATGGCGAAAAAAATTTCAACCTAGAAAACGGGACATCCCCCTTGATATTTGTAACATCTTTACTAACTTTCAGTTTTCTATCGCCACCAATAGAGGGTGCTCAATGACCTTGAAATGCGCTACTGGATCGCTATGAAACTGGCAAAAATATTGGTGATTTTTATAAAAAGCGACTATTGCCATGACAACTGAAGCGTAATGGTATTTTATAGATAATTTAAATTTTTTTTTATTTATATATGTACACAATACTTCTAGAGTAAAATATGAGCATCCTCTAAATTTATACTTAGAAACGTTTGGTACCAGCACCTCTTTAGGCAAGAGGAAAAATTTTGGACGGTGCTCCAAACCAGATCCCGGAAAATATTTCTTTTGAACCACTCTAATGTACATATGTATGTGTGCATTTTCTCAGGGTTTTTAGTTACTTGTGTGTTTGCGTTGCGAACATTTAAAAGATCATCAATCATCGCAACGCCGCAGCTCGTTAATTGCCTGCGTGTGTATAGAAATACTATTCATTGGTTGCTAAAAGACATTCTAAATAACAAAAAATACACACACACACACATTCAAACGCGAACGAGTACAACAAGTACCCTTATAATCGCATGCAGATTTCCCACAAAAGTCTATTAGTCTCCACATTTCATGATTTCTGTCCTTCCGCTTTGTGGTCGCCACCGTCGCAGAGACGTTCTTGAATGCTTTTAAATGTGGGAAGTCAAGTTAATAGCTACAGAGTTTAAGCGAGCGATTTTTCAACATTGCTGGTTTTTTCTTGGCCTTCCGTGGCTACCCAAAAAATCGTTTATGACAGCGCGCAGCCCAGAGCAACGGATGTGATGCGCAAATAACCGAAAGAAATGAGGGCAAACAAAACGTTCACAGAAACCTACTACGAGCATGAAGAGCACAGTTTAGCAGATGGGAGAGATGAATTAGTTGGTTTGGGTACGACTCTGGCGGAGCAGAGCACAAACGTCGCGTTTGAACTTAACCAAATGCTGGGGGTGCGTATGTATGTACATATTATTGTATGAAAATAATTTTCTACTTGCAATGTTTATGATGCTGTGCAAATAATGTGCTATGATTTTTTATTTGATAGCTGCGTAAATTGAATGTGAAATCTTTTGAGTTTTAGTCAGAATTGGTCGTTATTCTGAGACTTAATAAGAAATAGATTTAAAATTCGGTTTAAGGGAATGTTGTGTTGCTTAGCAAGTTCGTTCCATTACTTTTCTGTCAAATAGTATCGCAATTAAGGGAGTAAAATTCATTTAAACATCACAAACAAACAAAAAGTACACCCCTTAGTCTAAAATATTTTTGCAAGGAAATTTCGAATGTTTTTTTTTTGTTGTACAGGGACCTTGCTACATTTTCCGCTGACACCTAGCACATTTGGCAATATAGAAATTGTTCTACTGGAATAATCGAAACACTTCCAAGTTTAATTAATTATGATGAGCTTTAATTTACTGAAATTAGGGTGGTGCGTTAGGATGATAAGAACTGTGATCTGAACCTTATTTTTCTAAAAAATTTTTTGCGATGTTGTTTTCACCAGGGTTTTGAACCCAGCCGCTGCGGAGTGGAAGCGCGTACTGCTTACCACTGCACCACAGCGCCTCGGTGTTTAGTGTTTTGTTTTTAAATTAACCATTCACTTTGTGGGCTGAAGTATGAAATGGGTTGTCTAACAAAGCTGCGTAAATGTAGTTCATTCAATTTCAAACTCAATTTGTTAAGCCACAGGCTCTAGTCTATGCCAACCTTCATTTGAAATCCTATAAAACATGTAACAACTAACTAAATAAACTGACAGAAACTTTGAAAAATGAGCTGTTAGCAAACAACACAATCTGCACTCATATAATGGAAGCTTCTTAGAAGTTAAAACCACACATTAAAATTACCTTGTATGCATACTAAGCTAAACAACACATGTACACGTACGAAAAAGTCACTAGCAACTTAAAAATACATACGTTTACTCATAACAATGAACTGTATTAACCCTTAGCCACCTAACGTCTTTTTTAGACACTCTACCACCTAACGTCGGTCAAGGTGACCCCTTACTTAATTTTAGTGTTTAAAGTATAAATATAATAATAAAACACGCAAAAACCGCACATAACTCTTTTGTACCTTTTATTTAATTAATATTAACAAAAAATTAACTTAAAAGAAGTTTCATACTTCAATAACATTTTTTATTCATTGTTATACGAATTTTGTAAGAAAACCTAGATACTTTTATAAAATGAGATCTAATTAGGAAAAAATATTCGAACTTAAAATTTTTTTATTTTTTTTTATAACTTAAAAACATGGACTTCAATAATAAATTGTTTTTGGCGCGATTAAATCGCAATTAAAACCAAAAAAAAAATAAACAATGACCAAAAGCAAAAATGTTTTACCTCTAGTTTTTGAATTGGTACACGTGTTGACTGCCTGATTGCACAAAACGAACTGACGAGAGAAAAGAAAAAGTACATAGACGGACAACTGCGCAGCTTGCATAATAACGGGAATATTTAAAAAATAAAAAACGGTAGAGTCACTGTGACCGGCGTTAGGTGGCTAAGGGTTAAAGGAGTAGAAAGTGGCTACAAAACAACGACCGAAAATACTTATACATAAGCAAAATAAAGTCACTGAACGGTGAAAAACAATTCAAACTTCATAATAACTATATATGTACATTGGGGTGGTCCAAAAATGAATGTGAAAAAGTAAAGGAGGAATTTTTATGCTCTCAACCCTAGGATTGTTTTATACCGAAAAAAACTATACTTTTATTTTTTTATTTTNGGGGTGGTCCAAAAATGAATGTGAAAAAGTAAAGTCGGAATTTTTATGCTCTCACCCCTAGGATTGTTTTATACCGAAAAAAACTATACTTTTATTTTTTATTTTGAAATCAAAAAATATTTAGAGGTCGCTCAAAGTGCCCAAAATTTTCCATGTATTTTATATGGGGAAAAAAGAACTTTTCGTAGAAATGGTATAGGNTTTCCATGTATTTTATATGGGGAAAAAACAACTTTTCGTAGAAATGGTGTGGAATAGTTAAAAATTAATATTTTTCTACCATAAAACTCTGTTTATCTGCTGAAGATTCCCAGTAATAATACCCAATTATTTATTTAACTATTTTNACTCTGTTTATCTGCTGAAGATTCCCAGTAATAATACCCAATTATTTATTCAACCATTTTATTTATTGCAAATATAATTTATAGGTCCGCCAAAAACCCCCAAAAAAAACCTCGAAAAATGCAATGGAGCGACCAATAAAAAATCGTTAGTATTAAAAAATGGTTAAATAAAAAATTGGGTATTATTATTGAAACTCCCCTGAAGAGAACCAGAGTTTGTCGATCGAAAAATACTGACTTTGAAGAATTCTATACCATTTCTACGAAAAAATTTATTTTTCCCATATAAAAATACATGGAAAACTTTGAGCGCTTTGACCGACCTCCAAATATTTTTTTGATTTCAAAATAAAAAAGAGGGGTGATTTTTTTCGGTATCGACCAATTCTAGGGGGTAAGAGCATTACAATTGCGACTTTACTGTTGTTGGACCACCCTAATGTGCATACCTATGTATGTGCATATAACTCATACAGAAATATAGCTAGCACATATTGCAAGCCGGCAGCTGTAGCACACTCAAAACACACAGACATGCAAGTATGTAGCAACAAATTGGCATGCACAGGATTTGGACGCCAGCAGAACTCCATAAGCAAGTGCTCAGCGCTGGGCTCGGCTGCTTTATACATATATCCTACCATTTATTCGTTGCAAACTTTTCACATACCCATTAGAGTGCGCATGTGAGTATTTGTTTCTTACATATATATTACTAACTCAGTTTGTACGAGTACAACTGTAACATTGCTTGAAACGAATTTGCTTACGGCTTTACCTTTGGCACAAGCACTTGAGAAGTGTGTGCATAGCGTGGGTGCTTGGACGTATGAGCAACCTACATACATACTTGCCTCGTATTTATGTGTCTATGTGAATTCATATGTAACTTCAATCGCTCATGTCGCAATCTCACCTGACGTGGCAAGCAAAATGATACAATT